TAGTAGCATGTACAGCGAATTGGCAGGGGAAATCAAAACCACTAGAGTTCTATAATTCAGTTGAAATGCTGCTGAATTGCACTTTCTAAAGCGCTTTACTCAGATATTTCGGCACGTGCTGTCCTTAATGTAAATATGGTATTTGATAGGTTTTATCTAATTAATTATGAACAGGTTCATCGCGAGTTTCCAAGCATTTGCTTTTTTTAGTCGCAGAAAATTTTCTGTCATTTCCAACTAATATTTGAAAAGTTGTTGATACAAAAATGTTATCGACAATTGCAAGAAGTAAAAACTGTGACAACGTTCAGTCTTCGCATGGCTCCAGCTATTTCAAAACATTTTTATTTAGCTTTTTTCAAATTTAAGATCGGCCAACTTTCAGCTATTGGGTTCATGAAAGTGATAAAAATGTGAAATCGTTTAATCAAACACGGTCAAGAAGGAACCGCTGAAAACAGCAGGAATAAATGAAGACCCACACACTGAGTGTGTGAGAATGCAGCAGATTCTTTTCCTTAAATTAAACCACCTTGAAATCCGATCTAGTTCCGATATTCTGATTTCCCTCGTGCCAACTCGAAGTTCTTCAGAGCCCATTTCGAATGGTAAAGTCGACTAGAAAAAGGTACAAAACGACTTGGCCACAAAAATTCAATTACATGTTCACTGGAATTAAACATTGGCAAAACTGCATTTGCCATTGAAACCCAATGTTAATCAAATCTTTTAACAGCAACCATGCTTTTAGCATAATTGCATTACTACCCTTGAGCTTCCTATCGGGAGTTTCCGTTAGCCCTAAACATGTCGAATTAGTGGTACTACAGGCAAGAACTCTGCACGAAATGGACAATTTCTTGCTGGTTTGAATCTAGGGAACATAGATTGGAAATTTTGATTTATTTTACAAAATGAATAATGTTTGATAAAAGAAAACTTCCGCTAAGAGCAACATGAACTATTTATACATAGCTTAGAACGGTTGCCGTTTTATTTTACTATGACTTTTCCATTTTCCCGTTACTTGAGAGTGAAAAATCTTTTATGCATGCCTCTACCGCGTCCTTCTCATTGGTTTTCTCTTATAGTCCCTTTTAAATGTGTAACTGGGGTCCGGAACCGTTTCCACGAAAATGATAAAATGTTACTGCTTGCATCTAAAATTACAAAGTTTAAATTTAGGAACTGAATAAAGAGAATTTCAAGTAGGTATCCTATAAATATCTGGAAAAAAACCTATTTAAAGTGAAAGACGATTATTTTTGTCTCTTAACTTTGAGAGAAGAAAGATGTTGGCGTTTATTCGGAAAACTCATAACGATTTAATTTACAATTTTCCCTCTTTTTGTTCTGCTTGCTTTTTCGCCGCCATTAATTCCAAATTCAAGAAAATGAATATCTTTATGGCATAGCATGACTTAGTTGAGGTACAAACAAGACTATTCTTGCATGTATATAAATCGATACATGTTTAATGGGAACTTGTGCAATTACTATCTGCGTGCTCCACTTAGGGCAACTTGAATTCTCCTCTCCATCGTCAATTTGATAAAATTGTCACGTTATAATGGATCACAAAATTGTGGCTTCCAATATACTTTAAAATATCTATCGCCTTCAATTTTATCAATTTTATTTCTGTTAAGCCGTTTCAACTTGATCGTATTTGTCCGTGCATCTCAATACCGGATATTGCGTCGGAGAAGTTGCCTTTGCTGAAAAAAAAGCAATTTAGTGGAAAGCCGTTGTCACTTGTGCTTACGAAACCCATTTAATCCCATCAGACCCAAGAAAATGAACCCACAAAATTTGCGGACATTTTAAGAAACAGACAATTGCGAGATGGGAGAATTTAAATTGTCAATATGTCAATTAAAGGATTTCAATTGAATTCTGTGAAAGCTATTTAGGGGGCTAAATCTGCTGGACTTTTCACTGTGATTATTTAATGCGGTTAAATTGGAAAGTTTTTCGAAAAAGGTCAGCCAGCTCCCCTGGAGAAGGGATAGCTTAGAGACTTGTGTCTAATTAATTTAGAACACAACCTAATAACCCAATTTTAAATTTTGCGAATTAACACTTAATTAACAGCTAAGGCTACCAAATGTTACTAGCAAGTCAAATTGCTTATGAGCAATTTGCGACTAAAGAAACGACCACTTTACATCACTAGTACCAAGTACGTATTTTATTACTAGTGAAGTAAACAGCAAACATGAACATGTTTGCTATTATGGAATTTTTCCTTAAAGAGCGCTAAATTCCGGTAATAACGAAGAGTGACTAAAGATTTCTGAGCAAGATTACTGAAAATGTTACAGACAAAAAAGCAAACAAACCACAGATTCACCCATCTGGGCGAAAATGAAACACCCCGCTGCATGAAGAACCATTGTCATACTAGAGCTGTAATAAAAACCATTACATAAATTCTTAATACGACTGTTGTAATTAGTACGACAGATTGGACTTTGCTCTGAAAGTACTGCAACATTAACCATTTGATCGATAGAAGAGTCGGTTTAAGCGAGCTCGCACAAACAGGGCATAAAGGTCCCATAAAGGCGTCGTGTGAGAAAGCCCGATAGAAAATTGATGAATTTCGAATATAAAAGAGTGCAAATGCAGGCTTTAAAGGTTTAGTATCCATATTCATGAGATCCAGGCTGCGGAACTCTTGTCCCTCTTCACACCGACTGATCAGTTAGTTATTGTAGACGACGACAAAACAAATGTACTCCCTTTGGAAAAACTTCTGGCCGATGAAGAACAAGCATTGAACCGTTACTCAACTGATCAAAACAGTATGTTTAATTCAAGAGCTGCTTTAGTTGCTTATGGAATTTCTGTTTTTACATATAGTGAAAATTTAGAGTGTATTTTTTAAGGTAACAATAGTTGAGCGTTGAGCGGATTTCCTAGCGCGCAACATAGAGAAGCTATGAATAATAATGCTGTCATATCCAACCGGAGAAACGCATGGAGTTAATATCGGGTATGTGACAATGTTTATAATTGGAGTAGGGCCATCCAGGGTGTTACCCATTAATTGCAGCTGCGGTAATGTTTTTCAATTTTCATTGGAACCAACAGGACTAGACACGGTCAAAAATTATTGGCAAAATCTGGGGCTTCAACGGAACTTGTTGCTGGTGAAAGTTTGTTAAGTAGCCAAATAAATAATAAAAGTTTGCAATCAGGAAAAACGCTTCTCTATTTCATTACTGCATTAAACCAGTTTTCAATCGAAAAAGACCAGCAATGAAATATGAGCTGGCTGCCTTTGGAACTGTTCTTAAAGGGTCTATTTCTGGAAAATAAACTTCACTTGCTGTCAAAATATGAAATACTTTTATGTATTTTACTCTGGCCGTCCGTTTATTCGACGCCTTCAAATGCGTTTTAAAACTTGTTTACCCAAGGTGACACAATGTTATCTTTGGTGACAATAAATATCAGAAGGCTCAAAACGGATCCAGCTGCTTTCTGAGAAAACTAAAAGTCAGAAGATATAACACAATTGTCAGTTTTCTATAAACCTTTCGACTATTAGCAATTTAAAATTGTTGATGCTCGGAAAATTCGGCTGGCGTTCAATTGAAGGTATGTCAGGATTCCATTTCACCTTCTCGCTTGGAAAATAACTGAAAATAATCATTTTATTGACTGGAAAATACGCCCGACTCCTCTCGGAAAGCGTTTTCATTTATGGCTATTGCTTGGAACAATATAATTGAAAGCCAAATACTACGTGAAGCATGTACTGTCTTATGTTTCCCGTCAAGAACATTAACATTATTAAACCCCCACAAGGACAATATAGAATATTGTCTTTTCCTTTTAGCTTCCTTGTAAAAATATGCAGGTTCGTGCATTTATTCTTACCAATGACAACAAAATTGAATTGAAAACCTACCGTGATGTGAAACCTCGAGCATGTTTGTTTTTTCGTTCTTTCGAAAAAATCTAAACATTATGGATTTTCTTAATGTTCCTAATGCATCGGACTGATAGTTCAAAGCGATATGTGTAATATGATATAAAATAAATACTACATAATGCAAGCATGCCTTAATGCAATTTGAATGACAAATGCAATCGCTGATGGAAAACCTACTATTCGTTTCATATTTTTTCTGATGTTATCCATACCAATTCCAATACTGTATTTAGTCGGTTCTACGTGGTGAATTAAATTCACCATCACAGGTTGAAAATGTTTTTGTTGTATGTTTTTCAATGCAATTTATTAATACTTTTTGCGCCATATTCAAAGCATAAACTGAAAAAATGGCGGTTTAAAATTTGAAGATTCACCTGAAAAGACGATTAACATATTCATGTGTAATTTGCCGGGATAATCATATGCATATGGAAAATGTTTTTCGAAAATTACATCCATCTCCTCGTCTTATTCCTTTGAATCTAATCCAGGGTTGGTCATACATTAGCCGTACTCAACCGCTTTTATTCAGGTTTAGTTAAAACTTTGGAAGCGACATGATAAATGTACAGATGAATGAAGTTTGAAAAAAAATGTAAATTTAATCAGGTCGCTAGATATGAATATGCTCATTTCACCTAAAGTGAGAATAAATACACTCATTTATAAAATCGTTTTTTATGATTATTATTAAACTGGCTGTTAAACTGCCGGTTCGAGCAGAAACGCGGCTCTGTCATAAATTCAAACCTCCAGGAGTCGGTAATGTTGGAGTTAAATCCAGGATTAATAAAACAGGAAGTTACAATTTCAGCACCCTGTTCGTGTGATGAAACATAAAGTGTTAGAAGATGAGTGTCGCTTTCCATCCGCCGGGAGTATAACGCTACGAATGTCTGGCGCTTCTCATTTTTAATTAGCTCTAAATTCTTAATATCCCAATCTGCATCAGAACCACCATGGGTATCAATGGATAAGGCCAGCAGGGTATGAGCGAGAAGAAATATGATAAACCAAAAAACTGCAATTTAAAATAAAAATCATTTTCGAAAATTCGAGAATCATTCATTGGCGCTTTTAGTGAAGCAAGTGAATCGGTTGTTTTTTAACGTAGCAGCAAGCAAAAGTAAATTGCCATTTTTATGTAGCTAGAAATTTGCAAAAAAATTCTTGAGTTAATATATAGTAAGATAACAGGCCAAGTTCTATTCCAATGCCGTTAAAAATACACGCTTAAATCCTTAGAAGAAGTAACTCAACAAGATTCCTGAATCGGAAAACGACTTCAGAATTAGGGGCACCTTTGTGAGACAATTGGCAAAGAGGTGTTTCCAGCATGTATAGAAAATAGACAAACTTTACGTTTGAGTGTTTCCAGGTGGCAAATCCTGGTTTTAAAATGCAATCACTTAAAACTCTATAGTTTGTACTTCTGAATTGAATCTAAGCATGCAGGTTTTGTGCTCAATCTTGCTGCAATATTTTTGCAATTATGTGAATTTGGTAGCCAGCAATGGGCTTGTTCGATGTCCTGTAGTTACTCTACTTCTGAGAATAACTTAAGATATGTTTTTAAGTTTGCCTCGCTCTTTAGCCTTATTGGAAATACTAATAGAATTGAATTGCTTGCGAAATATCTTTAGACACTTCCTATATGAAAGAAACGAATAATTGAGTAAAAATAGCACCTGCCATAAACCTGATTTAGAGCTCGAATGCCTGTTGTTTTTAATCCACTTCCATTTCTCAATATTTGAAAGGCAACTACGACATATACATTTATTTCGTATTAGTACGCTAGTATTTCGACTACATAAACTTCAATATAAGGTAGGCGTTCGAAATAATGATGACAGAAAACTTTCCATATTTCCTTCCTGGAGAACTTTTCGGGTGAAACCTCTCATTTAAATTATATTTACCTTGGGAACGCAAATACAAAATCTAAACCGCAAATTTCCCCGATCGAATACAAAATTTCACACACTGGCTCCTTTGACAGCCGGAATTTGATTTCCCTTTGAGCCGAATTTCAAATGGATTTCAAATCTTATTCCTCATGCTCGTTTATTTCTTTAAGGATTATGGCAAATTTAATACGTCATTGACTATGTTATGGGTTATTTACGTGTAATTAGATAAATTTAAAATGTTACAGTTCCCAGTTGAAATCTGAGAAGAATATTGTAACTGTTACTCACTCACATCCAGCTGCTTCAGTCTCAAATTAAGATCTTTTAGACAACAAAGTACCTACATGAAGTAATTCAGTGAGGCCCAGAAGTAATGTTTAAATTCGTTTAAAATCATGCAGGTTGTTTTTTGATAAAAGCTCGGACCCGTCAATTTTTATTTGCAAAGGCAATTTTTTTAGGCCAAAATTATTTCCACAGGGTCGTGTAAATATAAGTAGCGACCATCAACTTTTTTTAATGCAAGCAACTACGTTTATATTTAATTTTTGAATTATTTATTGAATTCTGAGTATGATTCAGTTAGCATGTGCCACATTTAATTATAATCAACAGTTAGTCCTCAAAAGGACCGGTTTTCTTCAAGAAATAGTAGAACGATCAAATGAAATGTTGAAAATGTGTGCAATTTACGGCTTGACAATATCCAAATAAAGTCTTCTTGCTGGAGCTTCTAAAAATTTCGTTTGAAAAAATTAAGCTGATGGTTGTACCTCATTTTTGCGTAATAGTAGTAGCTGCGTAAATAGATGTGCCCTAAAAAAGCGTATTTAAAAATAAAAATGTACGGATCGAAGGTTTTTACCAAGAACACGCCCCTGACTTTTAAATTAATGTAGATATTACTTCGGGGAGTCATTGTATATTCAATTTATTATTACACCGGTCCTAATTATACCGCTCTATGCCAAAATATAATTCAAGCTCTCAAATTTTTGCTCAAACTCAAATGGCATTCAATGAATAAGTAAGTTTATGTAGTTAAAAAAAGCGAGTCACCCTTCTTATCTACACTATGACCTGCAGTCTTAAGGGTTGTTTTGATATGAAAGCCCAATGACTACCGTAGGCTGGAAGTTCAAAATAAACATCGTCAACAACTGTTTTGAAATTCCTGTAATACACTCTGGTTTCACACTGACGTAGTGTTTGTAATTGTTCGTTGGATCACTTCAAAGGGGCACATCTGCAGATGTTTTTCAGCTTTTTTGTTCCGCTTCTCTTTGTGGATCTTGAGCCATAAATGATGATCGATTTTTCTTCACCATTGTATATCGTACGAATTTGCCTGTGTTTATGCGGTTGTTTTATTTAACTGAAACGGCACAGTGCTCGCTTTAGATTTGCAATTTTTCTTTTGAATAACAGAGCTTGGCGAAGGTTGGAGGAAGAGGGTTTTCAGATATTTAAAAAATATTCGAATTCAACCAATTCGCTATGTATAAAGCCGAATAGATTTTCCAGTAAAATAAAATACATAAATTATCGGACAACTAGCAAGGGAGCGAAATAATTAAATAATGCAGCAAATCGTGGCATTTAAAAAATACAAATTAAGGGAAATATTAGTATTTCCTCTAGCCTGACAGAACGGTTTTTCCATTAATGGCAGTGAAACATGCACGATAAAAATGAATTACCAAACTCGTTAATTGGACATGGAACATTGCGAATCTAGGACATCGTCTCTATAATAAGTCATTCGATTAAACACCTTTAATAAATTTTGCGTCAAACAACATCACGTTTTCAATTAATTTCATTATCATTAAATCGTCGGCAAAATTAATTATACAAATATTATGGTGGCGCTGAGAATCGTCTAATTGTACAGCAGTTCAGTCTTTACATGTTCATTAACATAGAAAACCACCAGTTAAAAATATCGCTGCTGATAGAACCGGAGGGAGTTGAGGTTTTAGTAAAATTCCAAAAGCCCAGATACTCTTGATCCAGCTTCCACACCGCAGACGTAAAAACAATACAAAGCGAAACATGCACTGTATGCAGTTGGAAGCACAAAGGACAGAGTTTTTGCCGGCGGTGATAAAAATCGGTTTGAAATAGGCAACAAAATTGATTGTCCTATTTGAGGTGGTAATAACACCATAATTCTTACCAGCCTGCACGTGCACTTCTCTGCTCAGAATCGTTCCAGCTATGTTGGATGCTCGGCAACGATATATTGTTGAATGGACATCCGCTCTATAGTCCTCGGCTCGAAATGGTGGGAAATATAAGGTGCCATTGCCAAGTGATTGCCTGAAACAACATCAAAACACTAAATTATTTTTATGTCGGTCCATACGACTAATCTACACAGCTATATTTTATCGCTGTTGACAATGGCCTATTCATATGTAATACTTTATCACGATACAACCAGCTAACTTGCTCCAGAATTATGGCCTTTTATCCAACAGAAAATATAGACTTTTATTGCACATAACTTAGAGGAACATTGCTTGCAATATGCTAATTTATTTTAATTATCCTTATTAAACAGTGCACTAAATGTGAGCTTTTAACTAGAGGTCGTGGTTCAAAAAGTGCAACTTTTCCCAATATTTAATGATAAAATGCTCTAAGTAATCTGGTAGACATTCTATTAGTATCTTTCAATACCTACAAATAACTTCAAAGTATCTTCATTAAATAAACTTCCAATGAAAATCCAAACGACTGGAGCAGCAACAGCCTTATTAACGTATAACTAGACGCAGGCAGGTAGAAGGCTCAAATAGATTTAGCAAAGACGTTCCTGTTAAGGAAGGAAAAAGGCAAAATACCCAAAGATTGACAACGGTTGACGTGATCAGTGTGCGCGGTTTTCCAGGATACTTTCCTTAAAATGATCAAAACTCTATTTACATTAATTTAATCGGCTGAATAAAGCATCGGGGCTTTATACATTTCCATGTGGTGTATATGGAACAGCAAAGCAAGCATTGAGTTAATTGGAGGAACATAAGCAAATTTATTTAACGTTTACCTTTATACAAGCAATAAGACATTAATGCGTGTCTATATTTTTTTCCATTTGTCATTTGATATAATTCATTTAATAGGGACGAATATAAAGGAAAAAACCATAAAAGCTGTATATAAATTAATTGACCAATGACTACAAACGACAGGGTGGTCTATTGACGGTCTCTAAAAAGAGCTGGTTAAAGCGCCGTCGTGAACTGCTAGCTCGGCTAGCATTCAGCGCCGACTCCGACTAGTTCTTTTAAGGTTTTAATCATGCGATCATTTTTTCTTTCTAGTTCTAGACATTCCATATCAAATAACTGCTACATTATGCAAAATGCATTGATTTATAATTGAAACTTGAGAAATAAACAATGCAACCTCAGGCTTTACACCACTCTGGTTAAATAGTTATTCGAAATATTTCATGGGTTTCAAGTTCTGGAATATGCAAATGTAACCATAAACCGCCGGCAGAATGTCACAAACATTATTGGTTTCGTGCAGTTTCGATTTTCGCTTTTTTGACCAATTGCCAAGGGCTGAGCTATTCAATATTTGCTAAACTTATTAGCATGATAATAAACAGTACTTTTACAGCATCCCGTTTTGATTTTGCGCAAGCAATTTCAACAACATGGCACAACAAGGTTCGAATGTTTTTCGAATAGTATTACATGGATTCAAATATTTGCTTTAAACTAATATGGATGGAGTTTGGAGTTTTAAAAAATATTTTTAATACTCGTTGAACCCGAATTGCCCAATTGATACAGCAGGTCAATTGAAAAGATCTTGAGGTAATTAATGAATCCTCTCATGCAAATTGCGCGTGCACTTCAATCGTGTCAGCAGCTATTCCGGATTCAACGCCTCAATAAATATCATTAGTACACCAATAGGCGTTAACTACTAATGGAGCAGTCTTATCCCAGTGAGTTTCCAAGTAGCAGTCTATAGCTAGCATGTCTTTAGCAGGATACTATTTCATGAAGAACATAAAGCAAAAACATTTTTTCATTTTATTTCGAGAGTTTATACCTTAGGTACAGGCACATTAAGACAAAGTTTTCTTCCTTCGTGCTTTATATTTAATAAATAAGAAGTGATGTGGGCGCTTAAAGAAATTATGAAATTTTTCTTTTACGAAGGAAAGCTCGGTCACGGCGTATACAATAGGGGCACATTTCTTTGAAGTATGTTGTACGGAGCTAACGGAACTGAAATACTTATTAGGAAATACCTTCGGGTATTCGTTGAACGCAAATATCAAATTCTGGTTACAGCTTTGGGTATAATTAACAAAAAGCATTCGTAATTACACCGTCGTGTCATCATAAACACTAAACGGTCATCGGGATATTAATAATAAAAATTATTTGCTAAAATTCCAGACTTTAAATTCAGGTCTGTTTATGGAATAGCACTTCGGCGATGCCGTGAAAACTGCAAATATATACTTTAAACGTCAGCTCGGTTTAATTCCCAATATTGATTTTCTATGTTGACAATAATTCATAGAGAAGTTTAAATCAGTTGTGAACTGTCGTGGTAAATGGGTTCTAAAAAGGCCACGGTTTCATCACTTATTTTTATTTGCGGATTTTTCAGTTTGGATACACATTTGCCAATCAATTATAGTTAAATATAGTACAGTGTCAGATTTTAAAATATTGCCAAACACAACTGAGAAATGGAGAAATCAAACGAATAATTTTTTTCAACCATCACGTAAAAATCTGTAGCTAACAAGCAGTTCAACCCGAAATAAAGCAAGCAGTTTTTTGAACTGACAATAACTGTACAGCCATAAGTCCCATGTTACAGAGTTCGCATTGACAAACAATGGCGTGTCATCCGCTCAAATGCACTAAGCCTCTTACTGCGAAAATATGCGCCCTTCGGTACAACATGACACTTCCTAGGCATATAAATCAATAGATTTGTCAATCCTCGTTAATTATGTTGCGACTATGCTCTCCTATTTCAAAATAATGAATTAGTGATTATTATCGCTTTTAGTTATGCTACAAAAGTTTTTATGTTATTTGTCTGTTGTTAAATGTAGTTTATTTTTTAAATCTAACCAGAGAGAATTGAAATGTAAATACTCGACTAATCAATGTTTGCTGGCATGGAAAGATTTATTTGCTAATTAAAGGCCATTATAAGCATGCTCTTTATTTTCTTTTAACTGGGCCTTGAGCTCTAAGTGTTTTTCAATATCCTGCAACCGAAACAAATCGGATACGGAAGCGCGGGCAATAAATTAATTACATTTACACCATTTCATTTAATTCCAAAAAGTAATCTGGAAGTTTGCCCGATCTTTTTTGCGCCATGCTTCAGCCCTTCCATATAGGGCATAAGCGAAATTGAGGAAATTTAATATAATCAGCCTCTGGTCAGCGTATATGGCTTTGAATTTTCAAGTTTTGTATGTTGTTTAGACCGGAATTAGTGGTCTAAATTGGACATATTGTGCTTTTAGTGAACACTAAACTCAATCGGGAAAGTTGACAAATTGTTTATTTGAGATTTCTGTCTGATGGATAAAACCAATAACTACATAATAAACCATTAAACTTCACGTATTTCAGCGTTTCATAATTAAATGTTAAAAGTTAATAATGTGGGGTTAACACGCGAGTTGGCTTTTCAATTGATAAAGCTTAACACTGTGTAGGGAAGACTGCTAAAAAAATGCATTGACATTTTCGTGTGGATCGAAGCTCATAATTTTACCAATAAATGAACAGTTTGAAAAAATAAAATAAGTTCAAGTTTGCTTTCAATTATTTCATTATATTGAGTTTGTATATCTAGTTCAGTCGAAAATATAGTTGAATGAAGTACATATCAAAAAAAATGTGGTCACACCAAAACATCGTTTTTAAAGCACAAGACGAATGTTTGAAGTTGATAAAGTAATTTTCACCTGATAAAACTTTTATTTTATGCGACCTGGCATACATAAGTCCACATTGTCTGACATTCCAATATAATGTGAAGATAGATGATGCACGATTTGAAATAAACACCATTATGCATTTGGGAAGAAGCTGTAAAAATAAATATAAACTTAAAGCAAGACAAAGTGTTTTTCCTTAGAGCCTGCTGAAGGTATTTGCGAAATAGATTTAAATACGTTCCATAGTGTTGACGAATTAATCACATTGGTCTGGATAAATTACTCTCCTTAACTCTAATTTCTTAAAGTACACAGTATGCATCGGATTCTTAGTTAATTTTAATCTGCAATCTTGTTAATGCCAAATGCGTTTTCATTTATTTTGCCACTAATTTTATAACGGGATTTTGGCTCAATTATTAAAGTGGACTGGCAACGAGAACTAGGATTAAAATTTTAATTTGAAATAAACGGTGTTTGCCAGCGTAATTCGGATTTCTCCGCAAGATATTCGTTCATTTCCCTCGCAAAAATTTTAATTTCACCATGTTTGGAAAAAATGGTTTTAATCGGTAATTTTCAAATTTCACACTAATCTAAAACAGATGAACAGGAATGAAATAATGAAAGAATAAAAACACCAATATTATATTACTTGACAAATAACTACGCACGTTATTGTATTTAATGTAATTTCAAAATAGAAAGAATTCATATGCGCCCATATTACTCTTAATTTCCCCTTTACAATAACTGTAAAACTAATTATAGATTTCTTAAGAAATCTTCTTTAGCATACAGGGTGATTTTGGGTGAAGGTGTTTAAATTTAAACAAGTTTTAATGTTTAATTTTAATGAATAGTTAGCCAAATTACCATTGAAATACTCTAAAATCTTATTTAATCGATATTATTATGCTCAGCAGGTCCCTCCAGAGAATGATGCCAATTTTGACCCTGTATACGGTCATACATTGAAGAGAAAATATTTTCTTTGTTGCCGTGTACGGAAACCCTAACACAGGAAACTATAGATGATAAAATATTAAAACTTATGTTCATTTCGTTATCGAAACACGAAAAGTTTTGGGAAAGCTTTAAAATTGCCCAGGGGACGCACTGGGCTTTTATTACATTCCTTTTCGTTGTCTTACTTATCTTATTTCTTTCGCTTTCTGTTTAGATATTTGCTTACGGATAAGTTGTGTGCGATTTTATTTGCTCACGGATTTTCGGTTATGTATGAGGGGCTCGTAATTTCTGTTTTGATATTCTGTTTGCATCCGATACCAATTTCTTTGCCGGTTCAAATTTCAGGTCAATTTTATTTGGTTTATTCAATAGCTAGATGAATGGAAGGTGCGGCAGTTGTTACAGA